AGGAGGGTTGGACTGGGTGACCCACAGAGGTCCCTTCCAACCCCTACTATTCTGTGATTCTGTGCACCGTGCAAACCCACGAGCTCCAGCTCCGCCCGAGACACGACACGAGAGAGGCCCCAAAGAGCTTTTGCGCTGGCGAGGCGCTTGCCGCCAGCCATTCGCATCTGGTCGGGTGGCTCCGCAAGCGAAGCGTCGGCGCATCGGGCGTTGGAAGGCAGCCATGGAAGAGCCCAGAGCCCGGCTCTTGCTGCGAGCCGCAGTCACGGGATAATACCTGATGACAGCCTCCTTGAAATGTCGGCGCTGGTGGTGGAGCGGGGCGTTTTTACGAGGCAGCCACCTGTTCCCCTCACATTACCTCATTGCTACTCAAATCTGCTGCTGTAGCCCCAGCTGTAAAGTAGTTTTAATTAAAATGACTCGTTGCCTAAGACCGATTTGTCCTCTGTTTTGGGGATGTCTTAGAAGATCGTGCTTTTTCCTCATCACTTCGTCCCTGGGCTTGCCCTTCGAGGGGCTGTACCCACGGATGTCACTGGGATCAGAACAGAGAGTGTGGATTTTGGGTTGGACTAGATGACCTCTAAAGGTCCCTTCCAACCCAAAGCGTTGTATGATTTTAACTGAGCAGTGACTTAGGAACAGTGCATTTTTAAGCTGGTCTTGGCTTGGTTTTACGTATTTATTTTTACCTCTGACAACTGAATGAGGACTGCCCTGGCTCCAAGCCAGATCTCTCGGTAAGAATTTTTTTTCAGATCTTTGGGAAACGGCTTCTTCAATGTATTGTGCATGTTCTCTTGACATCTTAATGCAGTTTTTAGGTCGCTGAGCTAAGAAAAGACCATAGGTGCCTCTAAAGTTAAAGGAGAACCATGTCTCCTCAGAGGAGAACGAGGCACAGGCTGGGCCAGGTTGATGGTTGGTTGATGGTACTTGGAGAAATCAATTATTGTTGTGTGCTGCCTTCATGCTGTGCCGGATCGTGTAGAGATGAAGAAATTCTCTTGGCTTTCACTCCATCTGCAGGAGTTTGCGTGCTCCTGCATTCAGGCCGCCTGTGATGGTGAGTAGAGGACGTTGCTCATTGATCTACCAGTTGCTGCAGATCTGTGCTGGGAAGCCAGTGGGGCTGTCCATCAGGAGACGGCACCCATCGGCTGTCGGGCAGCGGGGTAGCTCGCAACGGTTCAGGTTCTTCTAAAGGCTGAAGGGTGAAAGCGGGAGCAGAAGGGAGTGAAGATGTCTCGGTGTGGAGGGGGAGGGCAGCCTGGGCTTGGCTGGAGAAGCTGCTCCGCTCTCCTGGTGCGGGTGTTCTTCTGGTGCTTTGTCTGCCTGAAAAAAAACCCTGGGAGTTTAATTCAGCAAACTGACCCATGAGGACCAAGAGACCTTTGAAGGGCTCCGTTCCCTGTGTGAGTCCTCTGAAGGGATGGTGTAGGGTCAGGGTGGGGAAGGCACTGGCAGCCGCAAGCCCTCGCCCTCCTCTGCCCTGTGCGGAGCAGAAGTTCACAGGCTGGGTGGAACGACGAGGAGCTGAGCTGTGGCCAAGCAGAACATGCAGAAAATACTCTCCCAAATTCCTGTTCCTGCCCTCTCGTCCCTCTGTTCTCAGCTGGCCTCTGCAGCCTGCCTGTGAAAAAGGGCCAGCAGAGGAGCTTGGAGTCATTCTTTGGGGGAAGGGAGTGGTGCCTGACCTGTTCCACCTGCAAAAATTAATACAGAATCCCAGAATCCCAGAATATTCGGGGTTGGCAGGGACCTCTGGGGGTCACCCAGCCCAACCCCCTGCCCAAGCAGGGTCACCCAGAGCAGACCGCAAAGGACCTTGTCCAGGTGGGTCTTGAATATCTCCAGAGAAGGAGACTCCACAACCTCCCTGGGCAGCCTGGGCCAGGGCTCCGTCACCCTCAGAGGGGAGAAGCTCTTTCTCATCCTTCTCCTTTCTGCCTGGAGACTGAGTTGAGCACTTGGCACCTGCCGGCTTCGGCAGAGGAGAGGCTGTGGGGCAGGGGAGCAGGGCGAGGGTCCCCGTGCCCGGGGCAGCGTGGCACTCCGCTGTCCCCCGAGAGCCAAAGCCACCGTGCGAGAGCAGCAGGCGGGCACCTCACGCACCACAGCTCCTCTCTGACGTCCAGAAATGATCCTTGCTGAGGTGCAAGCACAGCTCTTCCCCCCCAGAACCTTACAGGACCTGAGCCTGAACCTCAGGGGCTGTTGTCACCAGGTGCCCTGTGTGGACGCTGGCAGATGTAGCTGGGGCCAGGTGGTTTTGGCTGGCTGGCAGCCGGGGGGACGTCGGAGG